GTGAAAAAGGTAAATATAACCCGGCCAGTGTTGCTCAGTATTTAGTGTCGACCTATGAACCAGGGGTAGCCGATCAATGATTCTCTCTCATCATTGGTGTTTCTATCTCCTTCTCTGAAGTCAATAAAAATATATTAAAAAAAGAAAGGTAAGTATATAGATGAATGCCAGCAGGGTGGAGATGTATTTAAGGCAACCACTTGTTAAAGGCTGGCTTCCCTAGTAACAGGGAAAGTGAGGCAGGTCCTCTAAAAAGATTCAATCATAGCTTTCCATATCTTCTGGAAGAAGGAGCAGGCAGGGCAAATTCTTCACCAAATTCTCGGCCTTGGGCTTCATTCAGCCACTTACCTTTACTCTGCCCCTTCCTCATGGAGTCCAGAACGTCATGGTGCCACTCTTTGGCCATTCAGAGCCTCCCATTTTGTACTCTGTACACAGCTATTTGAACTTGAATCAGTTGCCCTGATCTTCAGTTTTTGAATTAGTAAAAAATGTTTTATTCCCTTGGCATTAGACATTTGAATAACAAATTTACATTTGTTTATTTTAATTTTTATTGACTTTACTGGGGTGACATTGGTTAATAAAATTAATATGGGGTTTTAGGTGTACATTTCTATTACATCATCTTTTATGGTATGGTGTGTTCACCACCCAAAGTCTCCTTTCGGCACCATTTATCCCCCCGTAACAAATTCACATTTAGATATGAATGTCTGAGAGCCTCCTCCTCTCACATTTTGTTTTGTATATTTTGGGGTAGTGCTTAATAAGTTTTAAAAACCACATTCTTTTTTTATATCAGTGATATATATCCATTGTTGAAAATTTGAAAAAATAGAGAAAATAAAAACCACTTAAAATCACATCACTCAGAGATAATTATTGCACACATTTTTGTTGTGTAGAGTTGAATTCACTGTGTGTGCATGTATGTATGTATACATACTTTAAAAAACAAATTCTCCCATAATTTCATGAAAATGTATCATCTACATCAGAGGACACTAGTCTGCTGCAGTCAGTATTCAAGCAGAACTCCGCATTTTCTATGTATATTAAACTCATATCTTCTACTTATTAAGTTTTATGCTGATGAGTAGATTATAGTAATTTGGCCACCTTTGAGCCAAAAAGAGCCTTTTGCATGTTTCCTCTTATAATTTTGGCCTTGTGCAGGTACGTTGCAAAGGATTTTACCTACTTTATAAGCCTTGACAACAATTCATTTAGCAGTGTTTGGGCTCTCTCTTGTTGAACATCTGTTGGTAATAAAAATGTCTTATACTATCTATAGTGGTATCAGACATAGCAGTATCCCATAGTTTTGTGGTTTATCAAGCAGACTGTGGTTTATCAGCTGGAGGCAGGGAATGGCCCTTCACATATGTACTCTAACGTTTGCGTACAATGCTGACATCCTAGATGTTAAGCATTTTGTTATTCAGTTGGTTGCCTGCATTCATGCTTGCTCCCCTTTTCTCACACCTAATGCCAGGATGATTGATTGAATTGCTTTTCTGCCTGGGCATATAGCTAAAATTTACTTCAGGGGGTTCTTTCCCCTCCCCCGACAATGCCATTTTAATGGTCAACATTTGGTGATCGGCTACTACGTGTCAGGCACTGTCTGAAGGTTCCTGGCTCAAGGATATCACAGAATATAAATTACATAAAGTTACTTGTTAAAAAATCGAGACTCTGAAACATGAAATAATAGTATATGTGAAACATGAAATTTTTCCTTTAAGCTGTCATTTAAAAAGTACAGTTAAAATAGCCTCATGACATGCAGAAATAAAACTTCCAGCATTTTTCTGTCACAAAATGATTACATCTTGATTTTTCTAGCCACCTTCACACATCTATGAGTTTTAACAGCTTTCATTTATTGTGCTGTATGTGCCAAACACTTTTCATTCATTATCTTACTTAATTTTCTCAACCTATGAGGTAGGTTTTGTTTTTTCGTGCATGAGAAAATCAGGTAGTGTCCAAAATCATTGAGAAAATATAGTGCAGGTTTTCAAAGCCATGCATGATTTCAATCCATTTTTTAAAAATACGTTTTTATTGATTCCAGAGAGGAAGGGAGAGGGAAAGAGAGAAACATCAATGATGAGAACCATTGATCAGCTGATTCTGGTACCTCCCCTACTGGGGATTGAGCCCGCAACCCGGGCATGTGCCCTGACCAGGAATTGAACCTGGGACCCTTCAGTCCGCAGGCAGACACTCTATCCACTGAGTCAAACCAGCCAGGATTTCAATCCATTTTAAAAAATGATTTTATGATGACTTAGCTCCCAGTTCCTTGGATGACTAGTTCTTCAGCGGAAGTTTATGAAGCTTGTTGACCAGACCCTATTGAATTCTAGTTCTAACCCAGGCTTGTGAGTCTGGGCGTTTACTTTCAGAGTTAACAAAATGATCAAGAATACACGTTTTGACACAGCTGATTCTCACAGCCAATTGGCCTGGAGGTCAATTCCTCCCAGTGATCCTACAACAACCAAGGCACCAAGAGTGCACCAAGAGTGTCCACCCCAGGTAACTGGGGAGGCTCAGCCACGGGGCCCTACAGGACACCTGGCGCGCAGAGCCACTCTATCAACACAGGGAAGCAGCCAAAATGCGGAGACAAAGAAACAGGTCACAAATGGCAGAAATGGAGGAAAGGAAACGACTGGATATAGAGTTCAAGGCCACGTTTATAAGGTTTTTCAAGAATTTTATGGAAACCGCCGATAAATTTAATGAATCCCTCAATAAGTATAGTGAGACCATGGAGGACATGAAAAAGGACCAACTAGAAATTAAGCATACACTGACTGAAATAAAGAATAATTTACAGAGATCCAACAGCAGACAAGAGGATCCCAAGAATCAAGTCAAAGATTTGAAATACAAAGAAACAAAAAATACCCAACCGAAAAAGAAAAAAGAAAAGAGATTCCAAAAATATGAAGATAGTGTAAGGAACCTCTGGGACAACTTCAAGTGTACCAACATCAGAATTATAGGGGTACCAGAAGGAGAGAGAGGGCAAGATATTGAAAACCTTTTTGAAGAAATAATGACAGAAAACTTCCCCTACCTGGTGAAAGAAATGGACTTACAAGTCCAGGAAGTGCAGAGAACCCCAAACAAAAGGAATCCAAAGAGGACCACACCAAGACACATCATAATTAAAATGCCAAGAGCAAAAGATAAAGAGAGAATCTTAAAAGCAGCAAGAGAAAGACAGTCAGTTACCTACAAGGGAGTACCCATACGACTGTCAGCTGATTTCTCAACAGAAACCATGCAGGCCAGAAGAGACTGGCAAGAAATATTCAAAGTGATGAATAGCAAGAACCTGCAACCAAGATTACTTTATCCAGCAAAGCTATCATTCAGAATAGAAGGTCAGATAAAGAGCTTCACGGATAAGAAAAAGCTAAAGGAGTTCATCACCACCAAACCAGCATTATATGAAATGCTGAAAGGTATTCTTTAAGAAGAGGAAGAAGAAAAAGGAACTCTTACCATTTGCCACAGCATGGATGGAACTGGAGAGCGGATAAATACCACAGGATCTCACTCATTTGTGGAATATAATGAACAACATAAACTGATGAACAAGGACTGATCCAGAGATGGAGAGGCATTGATTGGACTGTCGGGCCTTGGAGGGAAGGTAGGGGAGGGTAGGGGTAAGGGGGAAAGATCAACCAAAGGACTTATATGCAAGCATATAGGCCTAACCAATGGACACGGACAACAGGGGGGTGAGGGCATGAGCGGGGGGGGGGGGGGGGAGAGGGTAACGTGGGGACAAGGACACATATGTAATATCTTAATAAAAAATATATTATAAAAAAAAAAATGCTAGTTCAAAAAAGGGCAAAAAAAAAATAAAGAATACACGTTTTGCCCTTGCCAGTGTGGCTCAGTTGGTTGGAGCATCATCAGGTACACCAAAAGGTGGCAGGTTCCAGTCCTGGTCAGGGCACATACCCAGGTTGTGGCTATCCTGGTTGGGCTGTGTGGGAGGCAAATGATTAATATTTCTATCAAAATCAATTAAACAATAAAAAGAATAGACGTCTTGCTAAGCTGGTCATGAAAGGATTTTGCAAGCTCAAGCAATCTAAAGCTGTGAAGAGCCCTGGCCGGTTGGCTCAGGGGGTAGTGGGTCAGCCTGTGGACTGAAAGGTCCTGGGTTAGATTCTGGTCTGGGGCACATGCCCAGGTTGCAGGCTCGATTCCCAGTAGGGGGCGTGCAGGAGGCAGCCGATCAATGATGCTATCTCATCATTGATGTTTCTCTCTTTCCCTCTCCCTCTCTGAAATCAATAAAAATACTTTAAAAGCCCTAGCTGGTTTAGCTCAGTGGATAGAGCGTGGGCCTGCAGACTGAAGGGTTCCCAGATTCAATTCCGATCAAGGGCACATGCCTGGGTTGTGGGCTCAATCCCCACTGTGGAGCGTGCAGGAGGCAGCTAATCAATGGTTTTCATCATTGATGTTTCTCTCCCTCTCTCTCTGAAATCAATAAAAATATATTTAAAAAAATATATTAAGGCTGGTTTGGCTCAGTGGATAGAGCATCGGCCTGCGGACTTAAGGGTCCTGGGTTGATTCTAGTCAAGGGCACATGCCTGGGTTGTGGGCTTGACCGCCCCCCCTCCCCCCCAGTAGGGGTTGTGCTGGAGGCAGCTGATCAATGATTCTCTCTCATCATTGATGTTTCTATCTCTCTTTTCCCTCTCCCTTCATCTCTGAAATCAATAAAAATATGTTAATATATATATTAAAAAAAATACAAAGCCAAACAACATTTGTGCTCCTTCCAGTTCTAGCCTACAGTAGGTACCGCCTACTCGAGGTGCCGCCAGCAATCAATTCACCACGCCCAGGCGCTGAGCAGCGGGTGCTTGGAACCGGCACGTGGGGCCCCGCCTCCCTGGGGCTTTCTCCTTCCGGGGGAAACGCTTTGCTACAGGAAGTGACGGAAGCTGGGTGGACCAATCGGGTAAGGCTGTCTCTTCCTTTCCACGCGGTGGACGAGCTCGGCAGGCCTGTACCGCTCGTGCTGAACGATGCCGGGGAAACTCCTTAGTGACGCAGACTTGGAATCAGACGCGGCCATGGGAAAAGTGGAGACACCGAGGAAACAAAATGAGAAGGTGCCACCGAGGGCGGAGGGGCTGGGGCTCGGCAGGACGCGTGGCCGGGTGCGGGAGGGGAGGGTGCGCCGGCTGGGAGCGCTGGGAGCGCGGCGCGGACCCGGCTGGTCGGGAGACCCGCGTGGGTGTCGGCCAAGGGGCGCCTGGGAGTAGCGTTTCCCGTGGGCGGTGGGCGCGCGGCGGGAGTCCTGGCCGAGGCCGGGACGGGTCGGGACTGCGGGGAGCGCCAGGTGTCCCACGTGGTCCCGGAACCTGGGTGCCCCGCACCCGGGGCACTGAGTTGGGCGGTTAGGCCCCCAGGTTTTGGCTCAAGCTCAGACCTGACTCCCGGCCGGTGCGTGCGCGGAGAGAACTGTAAGTCAAGTCAAGGTAGGGATGGCCGCTTTAGACGAGCGAGAATTTCACCCACCTGCACACGTGGGCGGCGTCAGCGGAGACGCTTTCGCCCTACTCCGGGAGGCATTGTTTCCGGTGAGCAGCCCTTCGGAACTGTAGTTCCGCACATCAGTTCCTCTTAATGTGAGCGACCAGATCGCCCGCTGGAATGCAAAGCCCTGTTGTGGTGCTAACTGTGCACCGTATTTTTGAGAGTGGCCGGCGGGGTGCAGTTCTCCTGTTCCTTTGACAGCGGCCTGCCTCCTTGTTACTTATTTAGATAGTGATTGAATTGTGACCGGGTCTGTTCTGAGATGAGGTCAGTGGGAACAAAGCTTGTCCCAGAACTTGTATACGACTTAGATCTTTTCTTGCTGTTTCCGGGACTTTTGGATGGGGCGATTTTACAACAGCAGTAGTCTGGCCTTGCAGGAAGCCGAGGGGGCACAGACGCGCCTTCCCAGGTGGGGAGGACACTCACTGCTGTACTTTCCCTGCCTCCGTGACCGTGTTCAGTTGTGGGATCTCAGATTAGGAGGGACACGACCGAACTCCGTTATATTCCGAAGGAGACCACGGGGATGGGAAATCCACTCTGATGTGGTGGAACCAAGGGATGAAAAGAAGAAAACTCTGAAATCGTGGAGAGGGGGCGGGGGAACAGGCTGTTTTCCTTATGTCTGAGGGACGGTCATGTTGGAGGGATTACCCTTATCCAAGATTCGAGAGGCCACACCTCAGGTTCTAGGGAGGCAGATTTCAGCTCCGTACTTGTGCGATTGCTGGGGCTCTGTCGGAGAGGTTTTAACAGGCTCCAACAGCTGCCTGATGGTGTGCAGTAATATTGAGTAATGAAGGTTTCAGTAACGGGAAGCGTTGGAGAGGGTCAGACGTTTCAGGTAGGAGCCATAGTCTGATTTGGTTTTGAGGCTTCACTCATTCCAGCCCCTTGTAACTTGTGCTTCACCCCCACATCTTCTTTAAATTAGGTTCATCTTTTTTACACATGGGGTGATAGATTATGAGTTTTTATAGCTTTTTGGTTCATGAAGTTTCTCTGTAAATTCATTTGCACTTGTGAGGTAGGCAAGGCAGATGTTAAGAATCCTTGTTTTACCTGTACATGCATTCTAGGAAAGAAGAGTCTCTATTCCATCCATGCACATATATGGCCTTATTACTTTTATCAGAATTAAACTGCTTTACTTGGTCACTTGCTATAGTGTATTTAGTTTAGAGCCCGTGGGAGCATCCCATGAGCCACCCGAAATACTTTGTGAAAATTTGATTTTACAACTTTTGGACTAACATGAATTGAGTAGTTACTAAGAGGCATTCTCTTCCAAGCTAATGATGTTACATTGCTATAGACTTATCTTCATATAGCTAATAGTACGAGGAAGCATAGTTTGATTTTTGCCTTACTGCAAGGTGGAAGTACAAATGTTGAAAAATGCCCTCAAATTGTGTTCTTCATAATTGTATAATCTAGAAGTAATCCTGAATTGATGTATCAGATGCTTTGTGCAGTGTTTGCATTTTCTTTATTGATTTTTTTTTTTTAGAAAAGTAAAAAAGAGAAGCCAAAATCTAATAAGACTGAAGAGGCAGCAGAAGAAAAGGAAGAAGCCGTTTCCCCCAAAGCTAGAAAAGTTAAAAAGAAAGCAGAGCCTTCTGAGGTCGACATGAATTCTCCTAAATCCAAAAAGGCAAAAAAGATCGAGGAGCCATCTCAGGATGAAGTTAAATCCAAAAAGGCAAAAAAGATCGAGGAGCCATCTCAAGATGAAGTTAAATCCAAAAAGTCTAAAAAGATCGAGGAGCCATCTCAAGATGATGTGATTTCTCCTAAAAACAAAAGTGTAAAAAAAACAAAGGAGTCTGTGGAAAAGAAAGTTTCCTCTAAAACCAAAAAAGTAAAAAAAAGTGAGGAGCCTTCTGAAGAAGAAGTGGATGCTCCTAAACCCAAGAAGATAAAGAAAGAAAAGGAAATGAATGGAGAAATTGGGGAGAAAAGCCCCAAACTAAAGAATGGATTCTCTCATTCTGGACTTGACTCTAACTCCAATGAAGCTGCCAGTGAAGAAAGTAACAGTGAGTTGGAGCAGGTAAGGATGAGATATGTATGATTTCAGATAAATAAGTAAGTAATCACTACATACTTAACAATGGGAGGAAATTTGATTTGTTAGCGCTTCATGGGGTCTGTTGAGCCTAGAGTCAGAATGCCTCCTTGCAAGTAAGCAGATCTGTTTAAGTTTGGGGAAAATCTCTCCAGACGCTGGCAGCTTATTTGTAAGTCAGAAATTAACAGGAGGGATGTAGTCATGTGAACAGGCCCTCCTTCTCTTAGGGGTTTCACTAACCAAGATTAAGTAGGATTGTAAGTCTCTGTTTAGGCTGTTAACTAACTTGAGTTGAACAGGATGAATAAATCTGCTTGGAAGCTAATTCTGACTGCTTTCAGAATCTCAGGAAAGTCCTAATTTTATAAACATTTTGAGTTTGTAGGGCATGATCAACATTTAAGAATTTTTTTGATTATTAAAAATAATATGTGATCTAGAGAACTTAGGAAATATAGAAATTTATTTTTAAAAGTTTCCTTAGAATTTCTGCATTCAGTAATTCAGTGAATATTAAGCACTTTTCAGGTACAGAAGTAACCTGTTGATTTTGGTATTTCCTTGCTGTACTTTATATATATGGAATTATCTTTTTAATCAGATTAGGATTGTGCTGTATGCAGTATTGTATCCAGACTTTTCCACTTTTTTTAAAAAATATATATTTTTATTGATTTTTTACAGAGAGGAAGGGAGAGGGATAGAGAGTTAGAAACATCGATGAGAGATAAACATCAATCAGCTGCCTCCTGCACACCCCCCACTGGGGATGTGACCGCAACCAAGGTACATGCCCTTGACCAGAATCGAACCTGGGACCCTTGAGTCCGCAGGCCGATGCTCTATCCACTGAGCCAAACCAGTTAGGGCTTTTCCACTTTTATATAAGCATTTCCCCCACTTGTTAAATAATTTATTTTAATTATTTATTAAGTAAAAATATTAAATATTCTTTTTTTAAATACATTTTATTGATTTTTTTTACAGAGAGGAAGGGAGAGGGATAGAGAGTTAGAAACATCGATGAGAGAGAAACATTGATCAGCTGCCTCCTGCACACGCCCTACCGGGGATGTGCCCACAACCAAGGTACATGCCCTTGGCCGGAATCAAACCTGGGACCCTTGAGTCCGAAGGCCAACGCTCTATCCACTGAGCCAAACCGGTTGGCTAAATATTCATAATCCATTAAATATTCTTAATGGTTACATAATCCATCACTTAAATTTTTAGAAATTCACATAATTATTGGGCATTTTATTTGCCCAATTTGTTGGGCATTCGGATTTTTACTATCAATGCCACTGTTTGGTCCTTATTTCCTGTGGATGTATGAGAGACGCTGCTGTGGAAAAGGGCTAAGACCTGTGCAACTGCGTAGTTGTTTGGAATGGCTGTGGAATAGTTCTTAGTTGAGACTGATCCTGCCTTCACTAGCCATACATAGTGTATGTATGGTATATATTTGCTACAGATTTTTCTTCTAGGGTTTTACAGATTATTTCCTTTTTATTTTTTTATATTTTATTTTTAAAATATATTTTTATTGATTTTTTACAGAGAGAAAGGGAGAGAGATAGAGTCAGAAACATCGATCAGCTGCCTCCTGCACACCCCCTACTGGGAATGTGCCCGAAACCAAGTTACATGCCCTTGACCGGAATCGAACCTGGGACCCTTCAGTCCCCAGGCTGATGCTCTATCCACTGAGCCAAACCGGTTAGGGCGATTATTTCCTTTTTAGACCTTCATTTACCCATAAGGTTTTTGTGTCTTTTGGGTTGATTGAGAAAGGTATGTTAGAATAGGTTCTTTGGTTTCTTTCTCAGAAGGCTTCTCTGTATTAACCTGCAGGGGTAAAGTTACTGATTTCTTTCTGTGGCCCTTTACTTGATAGGAAATACCTGTGGAACAAAAAGAAGGCGCTTTCTCTAATTTCCCCATATCTGAAGAAACTATTAAACTTCTCAAAGGTAATATTCCTAGACTATTGTATAAATTAGAACATATTATTTGGAAGCACTCCACCATATTTGTTGAGAGGAACTAGGATGTGTTCTTATGTGCAGCCGTATAATGAAGTAGATCTATATGTACAACGTAGGACTACACTAGTGATGGCCTTTGTTGGCTCTTAAACAGGTGGTTAACATTTATTCAGAAGTGTAATGACTGATAATGCCGCTGCAATTAAACGGTTGATACCATGTTAATATCTTCCTTTTTTTATCCTCTTCCACTTGTTGAGGTATCTCTAGGTTAATGACACCAGCCTGGCTTGGAATTCACCTTAGCGGTGTGCCTGTGAATGAGCCAGGCGGTCACATGCTCGGCTGGGTGTTTTCTGAACCAGGTGTTGCACAGTCTGGACTTGGACTGCAAAGCATCTGCTTCTCACCTTATACTGACCTGTGGATGACATTTCATGACAAGCAACTTAAACTCTTAAAATAATAAATATTGACTGTAATTCGGTGCTTTAAAGTATATTGATATTTTTCAGTCAAATAGCTTCTTCACCACTAGAATATATCTGAACCTGAATTTGTAGATGTTGAGAAGGTAGAATTCCTCCTCCCGAATGGCTGATACTTGAAGAACTGCAATGTCAGTAACACGGTTAATCTGTTTACAGCCCGTGGGGTGACCTTCCTGTTTCCTATACAAGCAAAGACATTTCACCATGTGTATAGTGGAAAAGACTTAATTGCACAGGCGCGGACAGGAACTGGGAAGACTTTCTCCTTTGCCATCCCTTTGATTGAGAAGCTGCTGGCGGAACTGCATGACCGGAAGAGAGGCCGTGCCCCTCAGGTAACTCAGACGCCACCAGGGCCTCCAAATTCTCACGGCAAACATCTCTTGGGCATTGTGTACAACCCTACTGTTTTGTATAGGGTTCTCCTTAAAGCCGTTTTTGGGTATTGACTGTATATCTATCTGCAGCTAAACCTGGATAATTCTTTTAAAGTGTTGGCCACAGCCCTGGACAGGCAGCTCAGTTGATTGGAGTATCATCCCAATACGCCAAGGTTGCAGGTTAGCTCTCTGGTCAGGTCACATACAAGAAGCAACCAATGAAGGCATATATAAGTGAAGCAACGCCCCCCCCCCTTCTCTGTCTCCTTCCCCAACTCTCCCTCTCTCCCTCCCCCCTTTCTCCCTTCCTCTCTCTCAAATCAATTAAAAAAATTTTTTATAGTGTTGGCCACAAATCCTATATATTTAAATATTGTAATCCATCCCATGGTTGTGACCATCTGTATTATTTATTTATTTATTTATTTATTTATTTATTTTTTAAATATATTTTTTATTGATTAAGATATTACATATGTGTCCTTGTCCCCACGTTACCCTCTACCCCCCACCCCCTGTATTATTTATTAATGTTCACAGTGTTTCTGTCAAACTATTAGATTGTCCCCAGGGCTCACGGATTTGGTCAAGTGTCTATCATTTTTACTTGAAGTGGAGAAAGCATTTATTTATTTATTTTTAAAGACACAGGCATTTTTATTTATTGATTGATTTTAAGGAGAGCTATATATATAGACAGAAACATCGATTTGTTGTTCCACTTACTTATGCATTCATTGTTTGATTGTTATATGTGCCCTGACTGGGATTGAACCTACAACCTGGACATATCAGGATGATGCTCTAAGCAACTGACCTACCTGGCCGAGGCGAGAAACCTGTTTTTAGTAGCGATGCATGAGTGGAAGGAGAGACACGCAGAGAGGTGAAGAGGCCAACCTCCCTACTTCACTAAAATGCCTGTGTTGTCACATTGGCTGGAGGTTCTTGATCCTGAATTTCTGGCCCCACCTCATTTGTTTACTGGCTTTTTGTGACCATGCTTCCGTCTCATTATTTGTTTACTGCTGTTAACAAATACAGCAGTAAATGAATTATTCTGGCACCTAGAATACCATCTGGCACATAGTGGATATTCAGTAATATCTGTTGGATGAATGTATTGGGTTGTTGCTCTTAAATCCTATTTGTGTCAGGTTGTTACCTTACTGGAGGATCTAGTGGTTTCATGTTGTGTGTCCTGCTGGATCAAAGACTGCTCCAGGGTTCAAAGTCCCTCATGTCGGTCCTGCCTTAGGTTCAGGTCACAGGTTTTGGAGCCAGGCTCTTTTATTTATTTTTAATTTTTTTGTTAATACTTGCCCGAGGATATTTTTTCATTGATTTTGCAGTGGTTCTCAACCTTCTGGCCCTTTAAATACAGTTCCTCATGTTGTGACCCAACCATAATTATTTTCGTTGCTACTTCATAACTGTAATGTTGCTACTGTTATGAATCATAATGTAAATATCTGATATGCAGGATGATCTTAGGAGACCCCTGTGAAAGGGTTGTTCGACCGCCAAAGGGGTCACGACCCACAGGTTGAGAACTGCTGTTTTAGGGAGAGTGGAAGATAGAGGGGAAAGATAGAAACATTGATGTGAGAGAAGAACATCAATTGGTTGCCTCCCGCACGAGCCCTGACAAGGGCCCAGGCCGGGGAGGAGCCTGCAACCACAGTACATGCCCTCGACCAGAATCCAACCTGGGACCCTTTGGTCCGCAGGCCGACGCTCTATCCACTGAACTAAACCAGCTAGGGCTGGAGCCTGACTCTTAAATCCAGGCTCAGCCTCCTCTTAGCCTTTGGTTTTAGAAATCTCTTGTGTATCATTGTAGATATTATAGGTGAATACCTTGTGAAAATTGAATGAGAATATTGCATATTAAGCATTTAGTAGAGCCTGAGGCACAGTAAAAGCACAAATATTAGCTAATGTTATAGCGGTGTTGTTCCTTTCCTGGCGTGCTGTTCTTTAAGTACCAGCAGCTCCGTGAACATCGCCCCAGCTGCTCAGCCTGCTCCGTGCAGCTCCTGGAGCACCATACCTTTGGGCAACTACTTCTCTTCTGATTGGGGAGATCACAGTTGTTTCTTCTGAGAAGCCTTGTTGGAAACTATATTATCCTTCCACACACACAGCGCATTACAAAGCACATGTTTTGAAAATACTTGTTACGAATTAAATTTAATTTTTTCTTTTCAGGTACTGGTTCTTACACCCACAAGGGAACTGGCAAATCAAGTAAGCAGAGACTTCAGCGACATCACAAAAAAGTTGTCAGTGGCTTGTTTTTATGGTGGAACTCCCTATGGAGGTCAAAGTAAGTAAATTCAAAAGTGAGGAAAGGAAAATGCCCCATTCATTGTTGGATGTCCCAGTTAGATCCGACCTTGACATCCGGCTTTACCTGGTCTAATCTGGTGGTTTTCTTTGTTGTTATTGTTTAAAGTTGGTCAGTAACACGGTCCTGCCTAATGATGTGTCAAATCCTGTGTATCCTCCTCAGGACTTTTGTGTTACCTATGTTTATCTAAAGGATGTAAAGGTATCTTACTGAACCCCAAGGACAGAGTCCAGTTGGGCCCTTGGAACTAGAAACTCGGAATTGAAGGTTACTCCCCCCTCCCCTTTTTTTATAATAGGTTTTTATTGATTTTTTTTTTTCTTTAGAGAGAGAGAGAGGAAGGGAGAGGGATAGAGAGATAGAAACATGGATGAGAGAGAAACATCATCGATTGACTGCCTCTTGCACACCCCCCCACAGGGGATGGAGCCCGCAACCCGGGCATGTACCCTGACTGTGAATGGAACCCACCACCCTTCAGTCTAAGGGCCGACGCTCTAACCACTGAGCAAACTGTCTAGGCATGTCTTGGTATCTTTATCTTCAATCCTTAGCATATTACCTTGTAGTTGGTAAAAATTTTAGAGTAAAAATATTTGTGATTGGTACCCCAGCCTAATAAAAGGACTTAAAAACCAAGCGTATCTTATCGTTATGTTCTCTATAGTTGAACGTATGCGGAATGGGATTGACATCCTGGTTGGGACACCAGGTCGAATCAAAGACCACCTGCAGAATGGCAAGCTAGAGCTCACCAAACTTAAGCATGTTGTCCTGGATGAAGTGGACCAGATGCTGGATATGGGGTTTGCTGACCAAGTGGAAGAGATTTTAAGTGTGGCATACAAGAAAGGTAAACTCCAAGGAATTGATAAAAGGGGTAAGAAGAGTGGTGATTAAGTAGTTTTCTAAGAGTTAAATGAAGCTTTAGGAAATTGGGAAGTTACTTACTTTATTCAGGAAAACTTGAATTAAAAATAATTCACGATTTATCAGAATTGGGGGAAATTTGAGAAAGTAAGGAGAATTTCCTATCTACCAGTTCAGTGTACTTGACTTTTGGTACATTTCTTCCTGACTTTGTGCTATTGCATGTAAGTATGTGTGTGTGCGCATTAATGTAACCCCACTGTGCATATACAAATTGGGCACAGTAGTCCGCGAAGTGGTTGTGCCATGATTTAATTCCATGTATGTGTTTTAATTTTTAGATAATACAAATTCTGCTTACAAACATTTTTTGTGCAGATAGCTTCCTTTTATACCACAGTGTTTGGAATTAGTTTTTTAGGATAGATTTCCAGAAGTGAAATTACTGAGTTGAATGATATGAATGTTCATGCTCCTCAATAGTTATCGTCAAGTTGCTCTCAAAAAGGGTTCTATGAGCTTACACTGCCATTTGAAATATATGAAAATGCAATGAATTGGTGTCTTGTGTTGTTTTTTTTTTTAATCTTTATTGTTGAAAGTATTACATACGTTCCCTCCCCCCCCCCCCCCAATTGACCTAGTCCGCCCCCACATCCCACCCCAGGGTGTTTTTCACTTGGTAGGATTTGTTATAATGGACAAATTTTCCTTGTGGTTCATAAAGGCCAATGGTCAGAAAGAAAATAAGTTTCAAGTTCTTTTGCTATTTCAAGGATTCTTTTTTAAAAAAGATATTTTTACTGATTTCAGAGAGGAAGGGAGAGGGAGAGAGAGATAGAAACATAAATGATGAGAGAGAATCATTGATTGGCTCTCTCCTGCACACCCCCTGCTGGGGATCGATCCCACAACCTGGACATGTGCCCTTGACCGGAATCAAACCTGGGACCCTTCGGTCCACAGGCCGACACTCTGTCCACTGAGCCAAACCAGCTAGGGCTATTTTAAGGATGCTTTACATAAATTATTTAGGCAGTATTTATTTGCCTGTTGGTAACCTGTGTCTTTCATTTTTGTGTCTTAATGCCTGGCTTGGCCTAGTGGTTGCTGTAGAGTGTTAATGGAGCCTAGAAGAATTGGGTTAGGTGGAATACTATGTAGGCTTGTTTGGGTTATTCATACTAACTTTTTTACCCCCAAAGATTCAGAAGACAATCCCCAGACACTGCTTTTTTCTGCAACTTGCCCTCATTGGGTATATAATGTTGCTAAGAAATACATGAAGCCTACATATGAACAGGTGGACCTGATTGGTAAAAGGACTCAGAAAGCAGCAATAACTGTGGAGGTAAATGATTCATTTAGTTGCTAGAATTAGTAATAAATTGTATATCATTTTTTCCTGTCTGATTTTGATAGTTTTAAGATTGGCAAATACGAAGTCTTTTTCTAGATAAACACAAATCCATGTGAAAAGCCAAGTAAAGACATATATGGTATCTGTGTTTTCTAAGTTCATTTTCTGGTAGTTTGATTTCATAATTTTTTTGGAACCTAAATCTGTCTGAATGATCTAAACAGAAATTACCCCTAGGCTTTAAACACTAGAGGGCAGAGGAGAGATCTAGTGCTTTGTGTTGAAGCTGTTTTCATCTTAGGGTCAGGTACCTACCTGAATTTATTTCACCCAAGGAGTAGACATGTAACTGACTACTGATTGCATTTTTAAGTGGATGAAAGAACAAAACATAGAAACGTTTTTCTTGTTGTTTGGTTTCCTGTAGGAATCTAAATGGTATTTCTTTTCCTACATTTTCATGGTTTACGTCAGAAAGTAAAGAAGTCAGATGCTCTTTGGAGAAATGGAAGGAGCCCTCTGCTTTCATGGTTTAGTTTTTTTTCTAAACAGTGGTATAGTCTGCTCTAGGTGGGCTTACCTACTGCTTCTAGCACCTTAGTGGTGAACAGGTGATTTCAGGTTCTAGGTATGTTTATGAAATTGACCTTTTCCCCTCTCTTTTAAGCATCTGGCTATCAAGTGCCACTGGACTCAGAGAGCAGCAGTTATTGGGGATGTGATCCGAGTGTACAGTGGATTTCACGGGCGCACTATCATCTTCTGTGAAACCAAGAAAGAAGCCCAGGAGTTGTCTCAGAATACGTCCATGAAGCAGGTTGGTCCTTCCTCTCCCTTTCCTTTAGGGAGGAAGCATCTTTTATTTTTCATATTTTTACTAGAGGCCCGATGCACGAAATTTGTGCAAGGGGCTCGGCCCTTGCAGTCCCGGCTGCCTTGGCTGGTCCTCACTGCCCCGGCTTCATCTGGAAGGTCATCCAGACGGTTGTCCAGAATGTCATCCGGACGGTCGTTCGGCTGTTCGGTCTAGTTAGCATATTAGCTCTTTATTACATAGGATTGATTTCAGAGAGGAAGGGAAAGGGAGAGAGAGATAGAAACATCAATGATGAGAGAGAATCATTGATTGGCTGCCTCCTGCACAACCCATACTGGGGATTGAGGCCAAAACCTGGGCATATTCCCTGACCAGGAATCTAACCATGACCTCCTAGATCATAGATTGATGCTCAACCACTGAGCCATGCCGACTGGGCAGACAAATCATCTTTTAATTAATAGAATATACGTGTTAGAGCTCACCTAACCTGTCAGTCTCATCTCAGAGATGAGGAAAAAGTGGCTTAAACCCAAAGTTACACCAGCTAATAGATTTGATCACTCTTATCTGGTGTTCTGTACCTTTTAAATATAGGTGGGTGCATTTGATTTAATGACCAAAGATTGGAAGTAGTTTTGAAGCTTGTCCATGTAAGGCACATATTTTCTTTCCACTTCGTATTATTTTCAGTAGAAGTAGCACCAAAATATGAATCTCTTTGACAGGCCTCATTGGTGATGTAAAAAAGTACCCGTATTGTTGGATCTGGATTCTTACGCTAGCTTATTTCTTTGGCAGGATGCCCAGTCATTACACGGAGACATCCCACAGAAGCAAAGGGAAATCACCCTGAAAGGTTTTAGAAATGGTGATTTTGGAGTTATGGTTGCAACCAACGTTGCTGCACGTGGATTAGACATCCCTGAGGTTGATCTGGTTATACAATGTTCTCCACCAAAGGTAAGTGTTTTATATTTTTGTTTTGTTGTTTCTTTTGGGTATTAAAAATGGAAGTTGTATCGTTACTTTCATTTGATTAATAAAAGCCGTGTCTTGAATGCTAGGGGTGATTTAAAATTTATTATGAGGCTTTCCCCTGAGAACTGACAGTTGAGTGCAAGTGTGATCACTGGCCAGAGGTAGGAAACATAATTTCTGGTTAGAGGGTCAGCCCTGGAAGGCTACGTGGAGGTGGTGCAATTTTGAACTGGACTTTTGAACATGGGTAGGATTTAGATGGGGTGGCAGCAGGATGGATAAATTCATGAGCTAGAAGATAGAGAAGGGAGAAGAAGCTTGTAGTTAGCAGTTTCCATGGCTAAAATACTGGGTTTTTTTTGGGAGAATGGAACCTATAAGGGAGGACCCTGAAGCACAATTTACGTGGTGTGGACAGTACTTGAAATTAATAAAAGACGGCCTGAAGGAGCCTGTTACTATCATATCACTTCACCTCCCCTCAAACTGGCAAATCCCTCAGGATTAAAGGATGGAAAAAATACCTGATTACTGTGATCACAAGTGATCAATTCTTTTTATTTATTTTTTTTACTATTTATTGATTTCAGAGAGGAAGGGAGAAGGAGATAGAAACATCAATGAGAGAGAATCATTGATTGGCTGCCTCCTGCATGTTCCCTACTGGGGATCGAGCCCGCAACCCATCCATGTGCCCTTGGCCGGAATTGAACCTGGGACCCTTCAGTTCGCACAGGCTGATGCTCTATCCATTGCCTGAGCAATGGATAGGGCACAAGTGATCAATTCTTATGAAGGAAGTCCCGTAAGTGTGTGGCATAGATATTGTTTAAATGAGCCTGCAGACCTGTGCTGTTCAATATGATAGCCACAGCCAGTGGGGTTGTGGAATACACTTGAAATGCACCTAGTCTGACATGTGCTATAAGAGTAAAACACAGGTTGGAATGTTTCTTTTTTTTTTTTTTTAAATATATTTTATTGAGTTTTTACAGAGAGGAAGGGAGAGAGATAGAGAGTTAGAAACATCGATGAGAGAGAAACATCGATCAGCTGCCTCCTGCACATCTCCCACTGGGGATGTGCCCGCAACCCAGGTACATGCCCTTGACCGGAATCGAACCTGGGACCTTTCAGTCTGCAGACCGACGCTCTATCCACTGAGCCAAACCGGTTTCGGCTGGAATGTTTCTTATTTTAAACTTTTGATTACTATGCACTGGATTTTGAAGACATGAGAAAAGAATGCAAAATATCTATCTCATTTTGATAACTTGTTTTAAATAGGTAGCATATTGAAGTGATAAAACTTTTGGGTATATCGAGTTAATATTAAAATTAATCTAACCTTTTAATTTTTACTTTTTAGTGTGGTTACTAGAAAATTACAGATTGAAATTACATACGGTTCTGCCAGACAGCACTGTTTAGATGGTGCTTTGTGCAGACGTGTCCGTGGGACAAGGACCATTGGTCTAGAGCAGGGGTGGGCAAACTTTGTGACTCGAGGGCCACAATGGGTTCTTAAACTGGACCTGAGGGCCGGAACAAAAGCATGGATGGAGTGTTTGTGTGAACTGATATAAATTCAAAGTAAGCTTCATTACATAAAAGGGTACGGTCTTTTTTTTTTTTTTTTTTTAGTTTTATTCATTTCAAACGGCCCGGATCTGGCCTGCAGGCCATAGTTTGCCCACGGCTGGTCTAGAGGTTTTGAAAAATTGTCACAGTACTTTCATATTTTAAAAATTGATTTTAGATGGAGAGAGGAAGGGGGAGAGAGAAACATCGACTGGCTGTTCTACCTATTCATGTTCATTGGCTGCTTCATTTTTTTTTTTTTAATATATTTTATTGATTTTTTACAGAGAGGAAGGGAGAGAGATAGAGAGTTAGAAACATCGATGAGAGAGAAACATCGAACAGCTGCCTCCTGCACATCTCCCACTGGGGATGTGTCCACAACCCAGGTACATGCCCTTGACTGGAATCGAACCTGGGACCTTTCAGTCTGCAGACCGACGCTCTATCCACTGAGCCAAACCGGTTTCGGCGGTTGCTTCATTTTTTAATATATTTTTTCTCAGAATGCTTCATGAATGCGTGTATATATATATATATATATATATATATATATATATATATACACACACATACATACACATACACACAGGATAGATTAGGGGGTTGTAGGAGTGCTTCTGTAAGGAAATTGGTACACATACACACATACATGTTTTTTAATCTTTAGAGAGAGAAACATTGATCAGCTGCCTCCTGCATGCTTTCTACAGGGGACCCAGCCCACAACCTGGGCATGTGCCCCAATGGAATTGAACCAGCAACTTCTTGATTCGTGGTTCGAAGTTCAATAACAGCCACACAGGCCGGGCTATTGGTTGCTTCTTGTATGTTCCCTGACTGGGGATTGCACCCACAACCTTGGCATGTTTGGGGTTCTGCTTAACAAATTGAGCTACCTGGCCAGGGCTTTAAATTTTTTTTTTAAAATTGGTTTTATTGGGATGACATTAGTTAGTAAAATTTCATAGGTTTCGGGGGTACAGTTCTGTAATACATCATCTGTATATTGTATGTTCACCACCCAAGTCAAACCTCCTTCCATCCACAATTATCCCCTTTCCCCCTTCTCCCCCTCCCCCCTTTCCCTCTGGTACTATTGTCTATGAGGTTTTGTCTTTTTTTTTCTTAATCCCTTCACCCTTTTCACCCAGTCCCCCTCCACCCTCCCCTGTGACAGCTGTCAGTCTGTTCTCTGTATCTACGAGTCTGTTTCTGTTTTGTTTGTTAGCTTATTTCGATAATACTTTAATATGAATTGAAATGCTAAGGAACCTCTTCCCTCATAACCCCGGCATATTTACCTCCACTCTTGCCTCTGTGTAGACTGCTCAGGTCCTTGTCTATTTTTCGTTGTATCACTCTTGTATTTTACTTCAATAGGATGTGGAATCCTACATTCATCGTTCTGGGCGAACAGGTAGAGCTGGAAGGACTGGGATTTGCATCTGCTTTTATCAGCACAAGGAAGAGTATCAGTTAGCGCAAGTGGAGCAAAAAGCGGTAAAACTATTTTCTTAGCCTTATTCAACAAATGTGGAGTTCTGAAGTCGGCCTTTGGTTTCCTTACCCAGTTTTTATTAACTTGAAATTAGTTGTATTTCCAGCGTGTGGCCATGACTCAGAGTTTGTTAGATACATATTTTATACATTGTCCTACAATAGAAGGCCCGTTTTGAAATAACTTGGCATTTGAAAGCAGTGGTTTTGTTTTCATATTTAATAATTATAATGGGTGTTTTATGTTAGAAAGGCAGCTTTCAGACCATGAGAACACATCAGAAATATTTAAGGCTAGACTAGGGGGTTGTAGGAATGCTTCTATACGGAAATTGGTACTTCCTCCTCCAGGGTGGACTGCTCTTAGTGACTCGCTTACAAAGAAAATGGTAGGGGTGGTGGGGCAAGGGGCAATTACAGTGCCAAAAGCAGGCAAGTGCTGCCTGGCAGTTGGTCATGGTTGACAGGTAAGCACGTACCCCTGACCCAGTGTGATGAGGCAGCTTTCACCTCTGGTCTTCTTTCCCAAAGCCCATGACCCCCGCTAAGCATGTGAAAAATAGCAGGTAGCTGAATTGAGGGACAGTCTGCAAAATAGCTGGTCAGTACCCCTTAAAACTGTCTGGGTCATGGACAACAAGGAAACATAAACTGCCACAGATCAGGGGAGACTAAGAAGACATGACGATTCGATTAATGTAGTTTCCTGGATTGGATATTGGAACAGGGAAAGAATACTAATAGAAAAACTAGTGACATTCTAATGAACTCTGGGGCTAATAGTAAAGCAGCAGTTGGGTTTCTTAGTTGGGATAAATGTACCACAGTAATAACAATAAGAAAACTTGGTGCATGATATATAGGAACTCTTTGTAAATCTAAAACCATTCTCAAAAAGTTTTTCTTATAAATATGTAATATGTTTGGTAAATATAAAAGATTAGAGGGGAAAAAAAAGATTAGAGGATTACCAATCTCAAAGAAAATAGTTAATGGCCATGTTGTATATTAAACTATAGTTCATTTTCTTGTAGGGAATTAAATTTAAACGAATAGGTGTTCCTTCTGCAACAGAGATAATAAAAGCTTCCAGCAAAGATGCCATCAGGTATGTTCCCTGCCACTGCTGTGGGTATTGAGCTCGAAACTCAGGCGTGTGACCTGACCGGGAATTGAACCAGCAACCTCTCAGTGCACAGGACAGTGCTCAGCCAACGGAGCCACACCCGCCAGGGCACGTGACATGGTTTTTCGAAAAATAGGAGGCCCTGGCTGGTGTGGCTCAGTTGGTTAGAGTATCATCCCATATACTGAAAGGTCACAGGTTCAATCACTGGTCAGGGTGCATACAGGAGGCAACTGATTGATGTTTCTCTCTCTTCCTCTCACTCTAAAATCAATAAAAAACATAAGCTGTGGCCAGTGTGGCTCAGTTGGTGGATTGTCATCTCCTATACCAAGAGGTGTGGTGGGTTCAATTTCTGGTCAGGGCTTGAGCAGGAGGCAGCTGATCGATGTTTCTCTCTCTCTCTCTCTCTCCCTCCCTCTCTCTCTCTTGCTCTCTCTCTCTCTCTCTCTCTCTTCCTCTCCCTGAAATCAATTTAAAAAAAATAAACGAGGAGTTCATGATAAAAAGAAATACTAGATATTAGCACATTAATAGCTGGGGAAAGTTCTGCAAATGAAAAGAATTTAACTCGGCATTTTTCAAACGTATTTTTAGCATGTCTTTCTTTAAACATTCTGCAAACAGGGTTTCTTATGACACCAGTTAAGAAAATTTGGGGTGAGATGTCGGGAAGGAGAAAAGAGACCAAGATGGTGATGGTGGGGTATGGGAAATGGTCTTGAGCGGGACAGGCCCGCCAAACGAGGCTGCCTCACGTAGCCTATTCGTCCTTGTGGACGATCTCTTTCAAATTTGAGATGTGACATTTATTATCACCAAGATAAATGTATAGTCTCGTAAAGGCATGTATCATTTTTAACTTGATTTGAGAGTCTTTTTTTCTCTCTTTTATTTCAGAATGGAAATAGTTGAAGTATTTCCTGATTCTAAAAGTAACACATGCTTTATTGATGCACATTTTAAAACTGTTAAGTTTTTTTTTATAACACTGTGATGAACATCTTAATATCTTACTATTTTCTTAGGATAAGACATTTTGTTTTGGTGGTTAGAACTAGATAAAATCAAAGGAATGAATTTATTACCACAGAAATGTGATGATTACATGCTTTGCATCAAAATGATGTGTTAGACCTCGTTAGAAAGTTACTAATTTAGCCCAGCTGGTGTTGCACAGTGGTTGAGTGTTGGCCTGTGAACCAGGGGGTCACAGTTTGATTCCTGGTCAGGGCACATGCATGAGTTGCTGGCTCGATCCCCAGTACGAGGCTTGCAGAAGGCAGCCGATTAATGTTCTCTCTCATCGATGTTTCTATCTCTATCTCTCTAAAATCAATTATGTATATTTGCTAATGGGCATAGGGATTCTTTTTAGGGTGATGAAATGTTATGGAATTTTAGATAGGCTATATATATATATATATATATATATATAGTTACTTGAGATGTTGTCTTGAAAATGAAATCTGTCAGGCAGGTACAGGGTGGAGGGTGTCAATGGGGAAAAAGGGGAGACATTTGTAATACTTTTGACAACGAAGATACATTAAGAAAATGAAATCTGTCCACTTCTGTCCTTCTAACGAATATATTCTCAATCACACTATAGGTTTTTGGATTCTGTTCCTCCCACTGCTATTAGTCACTTTAAGCAGTCAGCCGAGAAACTGATAGAGGAGAAGGGAGCCGTGGAAGCCCTGGCGGCAGCTCTGGCCCATATTTCAGGTGCCACATCTGTAGACCAGCGCTCCTTGATCAACTCAGAGGCGGTAAGGTCCCTGTCAGATACCTGATGCGTTATAGTTGGGAGTTGGAGCAGGATTTGAAAGTGTTCCCTTTAAACTTCCCAATTGTTTCAACTTTTTATTTATTTTATTTTTCAATTACAGTTAACATTCAGTTTATTTTGTATTAGTTTCAGATGCACAGCATAGCAGTTAAACAGTCACATACTCCACAAAGTATTCTAGTAATTCCAGTACCCATCTGGCATCATACATAGTTATTACAATGTTGTTGACGACCCAGTTGTTTTAATTTTTGCTTGAAGGCAGATGTATATAAACAAACCCTTCGAGACATAAAGCAGATTAGTGGTTGCCAGTGTCCCTGAAAAGGGAGGAAATGGCCGTGACTGCTAATGGGCATAGGGATTCTTTTTACGGTGATGAAGTGTTCTGGAATTTTAGATAGGTTGATGTTTGCAAATTTTGTGAACTTACTAAAAACCCCTGAATGGTACACTTTAAAATGGTGAATTTTGTGGTTATGTGAATTGTATCTCAAAACTTGAAATTCCTAAAATACACACATACAGAAATGTACATAATACATTTGTCCAGCATACCTAGAAACTTTAGAAGGTGTATGCTTTTCGGTTTCTTTTTTTAAACTTTGAGGTAACTATAGGTTCACAGGTTGTTGTAAGAGATAATATAGTGAGCTCCCTGTACACTTTGCCCAGTTTCTCCCAGTGTTAACAGTTTGCAAAACTATAATGCCACAATGGGGTTATTGACTTCGGCACAATCCACCAATCTTATTCAGGGTTCCTCAGTTTTACTTGTACCTATTTGTATGGTTGGTGGGGGGTGGAAGGCAGCATATCCTTTTAGGGTGAACTTTTCCAGAAATATTTTAGAAACATGAGGGCAGGTATTTATCAGCTAGGTTTGCTTTTAAGACTTTAATTTTGTTCCCCTTTCCTCCATAGGGCTTTGTGACCATGGTCCTGAAGTGCTCAATTGAAATGCCAAACATTAGTTATGCTTGGAAAGAACTTAAAGAGCAACTGGGTGAGGATATTGATTCCAAAGTGAAGGGAATGGTCTTTCTCAAGGGAAAGGAGGTAAGGAAGGCTGGGACCCCTGTTGTGACCTTGCTTTGGTTCAGTGGCCTTCCGCGGCCATAACGCACTGTGTGGGGGTTTCTCCCTGTTCTCGGGGCGGCTGCATATGTTCACTCTCTAGTTTTCTCTGGGCAGTGCCATCCATGACCCTCAGCTCCACTTAGTCACGGACACCTACCCCCCATCCGTGTGGATCCTGAACCGCCTGCCTCCAGTGCTGGACTTGAAGATCCAGCTGCTTCCCTGACATCTCCACTAAGATGGAGTTTATTATTAAGCAACTTAAAACAAATACAAATTCTTTAATTCACATTCAAAATTTAAAATCTTGCCTTCCAAAAGTGGTGTTCTTTCTTCTGAGTCCTGCTCTCAGTTAATGACACGGATCAGCACAGCAATTCTCAAACATTTTGGTCTCATGACCCCTTTACATTCTTAATAAATGTTGGGGATACCGAAAAGCTTTTGTTCATATGGGTTATATCTAGTGCTATTTAAAACTGGGACTCTAAAACAAGAATATCATGTTCAGTTAGTCCTCAGAGCATCATCACATGTCATGTGGGGTCTGGGAAACTCCACTGCACCCTTGGGAAAGAATGAGAGTGAAAAGGGCAGATGACATTTCAGTATTCTTATGAAAATAATTTTGACTTTGTGGAACCCCCTACAGATCTCAGGTTTCCAGGGTACATGGACTATACTTGGCCTGGTGAACCAAATGAGGTTTATTTTCAACTCATTTCATGTCCGACCACGTTGGTTATCTCTAACTCCACATAATGTGTGGGATGCAGTCTCAACTTTCCCCTGGAGGATAAGATCCTCTGTGAGCTGGCGCCTGCCCCCCTCACCACCTTCATCTCTGCCTGCTCACCACCAGCACCCTCCTCCACTCCAGCAATGCCAAGCACGCCTTGTTTTTTCTCATCCTACATGCATGGACCCAGTGTTTATAATATTTCTTTCTTCATGGTGTCCTTTGTGATTGGCTTAGCTCTAAGTCTCCCTGTGAAGCTTTCCCTGGCCATAAGCAGAGTTGGGGGCATCTGTATCTGTCCTGCAGAGTTCTTAGGGCATACCTTTATTCCGGTAAATTTTACTTGCTGTGCTTGCTGGCTGAGAGCCTCAAGAACAGTATAATCTCAAGGGCAAAGACTGTTTTCTAGTTCTGTCTATACCCAGTGAGAGCCTGTCATTGAATACTTAGTAAACATGTAAATGAACATTCCCACAAATGGCAAAATCTATCAGTACCTGATGCTACCTGTGATTATACCTGGGTAAATTGTTGGGTAGAAGGGCTGTTCCTCATAAAATGTTGCAATCACAACCAACCAGTGGGGAGGGGTGCCTGTGTCAGTTGCAGGGGTAGTTTGAATATAGTATAAAAAATGGGTACCAAGAAACAGGACTTAATTGGAGATAATGTCTGCTTATTATCAAATATAGTGTCCTGAATTTAATTTTTTAGAAAACTTCATAGGAGGCTGAATTATAAAAAAACTAGATTAATCATAGATCATTTATTTTTCTGCTTTAGTTCAGCCGTCTTGAATAGTTGACACTCTTTCTGATGAAAGGCAGTGTTTTAGACCATAAGTTTTGGAGCCATACTGAGCGGAGTTCTCAAACCGACTCTACTTACCAGCTGTGGGGCCCTAGGCCAGTCAGTTAGCCTATCCAGTCTTCTGTTTCCTCAGCCATAAATGTAGCTAATAGTTACTTGAGGATGAGCACAGTGCGATAGCCAAGAATGACCTCTACTCAGTTCTAAATAGTTTTTGAGTCATATATATATATATATGTGTGTATATCTCCTTAGCTTTTTTCTATTGTGCTTTGGGAGGTACAGTGTAGTGTGTTGGTCTTCGTCTAAAGTTTACCTTAAATTAATACTTTTTTTTGACTCGATAATGACAAATTTATTACTTTCCATGGCTTCATTTCTGTGGACACTTAAAAGAAAAAAGTCTAGTACACTCCAAACTATGCATTTAATTTTTTTTCAAGCATTTAAAATATCTTGCTTAGGTACATAATATTTATCCCTTCCAGAGTTTTCCTGTCCATTATTATCTTAGTAAATAACAAGAAATATGAAAAGCTATAAAGAGATAATAAAAATAAAGGACACAAGAAGCATTTCAGAACATTATTGATGGCAAAAAAGAGGCCATTTATAAACAGTATTTGCTGGTTATACAATTTTTAAATATCTTAATGCGAAATGTGATATTCCATTTTTTAAAAATATCTTCTTTTTAAAAAAAACAATACCTGGTTATTCGGTGTATTACTTAATGTGCATTTTATAATTCAGGTCAAAGGCTGGATTAACTGCTTTTGTTTTGATTTCTAGGGTGTTTGCTTTGATGTCCGTACTGAAGCAGTCACAGGAATACAGGTATTCTTTTTCTTGGATTTTGAAGTTAACATATCTAAATTGTAGAATGTTTGTTATTGAAAATACAGAATAATAGAAAGGAAACAATAGCTCTAGGCCCTTCACTAAAAGACAATTAAGAAGTTTAGGATTTTTCTCTCCTAACATTTTATTCTGATATATTTTCTTGGTCAGCCTGCTTGTTTTTTTTTCCTACAGAGTATATCCAGACTCCCCTATATATGTTACATGAGGTTGACATAAACTTTTTTAATTTCTATATCTTTCTTTACTCACTACTGCTGTGAGAAACATGTTTGTACAAGGTATATTTATGTTTTACTGCCTGAGAGCTTTGGATACCTATAGTAGTTGAATTGAATAAATGATACTGTGATGATGCTATACTATGAGGTCACTTCTCTCTCTTTTTTAAAAATATATTTTTATTGATTTCAGAGAGAAAGGAGAGAGAGAGAAAGGTAGAGACATCAATGATGAGAGAGAATCATTGATCAGCTGCCTCTTGGGGATCAGCCTGCAACCTGGGCATGTGCCTTGACGGGGCATCGAACCATTACCTCCCGGTTCTTTGGTTGCTGCTCAACCACTGAGCCTTGCTGGCCAGGCTTTGAGGGTACTTTTTATAGTGAAAGTTATTTTTCCACCCTTCAGTGACTCTGGCTTTTGGGCCATGAAGGTTAGTATTTTTGACCAGTGACCTTTTACGCACTTAGGTTATCAATCTAGTTTTTCTCTTTGAGAAAGGGCAAAAAATGTCTTTCTCGTGTCTTTTTAAACCAAATTCAGTAAAAATAAAAGAGGAAAAAACAAAAGCATCTCTCAACAGGAAAAATGGCATGATTCCCGGCGCTGGCAACTCTCTGTGGCCACGGAGCAACCGGAGCTGGAAGGACCGCGGGAAGGATTCCGAAGCTTCAGGGGACAGCGGGAAGGCAATCGAGGCTTCCGGGGACAGCGGGACGGAAGCAGAAACTTCAGGGGACAGCGGGACGGAAATAGAAACTTCAGGGGACAGCGATCAGGCGGTGGCAACAGAAATAACCGATTCCAGAACAAAGGCCAGAAACGGAGTTTCAGTAAAGCGTTTGGTTAGTAATTGAAGTAGACGATTTATATGGCAAAACAGAACTGTGTTTGGCAACATGGAACTGAACTTTTTTTTCCCATGCAAAGTTAAAAGCACATTGTGTTTCCTTCCTGACCACTTGCCCTGGCCCATCTCTCCCAGAGAGATAAGCTTCATGTAAATCACTTCATCTGATTGTCATTTATAACTTTATTGCTACTTCTGTATCAGGTTTTCCTTTTGAAAAGGTATATGAATTCATTGCATTTTATTCTAATGCATTTTTTATATATTATAAGATAAAGTCAAGGATGTATCTGCCTATACTTTTAAGTTGACCAGTCTTTATACTTTAAAGCAGTGGTTCTCAACCTTCCTAATGCCCCGAGCCTTTAATACAGTTCCTCATGTTGTGGTGACCCCCAATTTCATTGTTACAAATTGAACATAATTAAAGCATAGTGATTAATCACAAAAATAATCTGTAATTATATATGTGTTTTCCGAAGGTCTTAGGCACCCCCTGTGGAAGGGTCATTCGACCCCCAAAGAGGTCGCGACCCACAGGTTGAGAACCGCTGCTTTAAGGTATCTCTGAATAGTGTTCTTCCCTAAGTACCTATGCAGAATGCAACAGTCTCTGAGAAGCGCTTTCTTCTGTAATTGGCATTCTTCAGCCACCTCCTAACGATTCCTCCTGTGATCCTGTAACACGTCTTCTGAGAATTAACACTGAGCGATGTTTTGAAGCAAGATTTCAAACAGCTTGGATGTAATAGTGTTTATGCCAGCCTGTGCTATAGATTTGGAGGATAGTGATACATATGATAGGAGACAGTATGTAGATTAGCCATCATTTTGTGCACTTTGATACATTTTTAGCTTCTCAATATAGAGTGATTTGTGCTTCAGTGAATTCTTCATAGATTTTATACATCTATATATCTCTATATATAACAAAATGTTTTTAATAGAGAGCAAGTGTCTCTAAGGAATTCTAAATGTATGAGATGGCTCCATAACTTTCTTCATAAGTAAGGAGGTTGGATATATGGGGCTTGGTGACAGTGTATTACACTTCCTATTTACCAAGAAGGAATTAAGGGAATAGGGGGCAGAGATTTGCATTGCTGAAAAATCAAAACAAAGCCACTGAAAATACTTTTCATATGCAAGAAGGAAACATCTGTTAAGAGCAAAGAGAAGAGCAAGTGAAGATAAAGTATCTTTAATTGGTAGAAACTTAATGGGTCATTAATGTTTCTGGCAGTTAATGTCTAATGGGCAAACTGGAATTTTTAGGTAGAATGATCTGGTTTAGTTTCTCAAAAAAGCCTATTCCTATAGCCACAGTATAGGAATCTTTATTAAACTGCTACTCCATTGGGAGGTTTTAAAGACAAGCTATGTGATTATTTTAAGTTGTTGCTTTGAGGGAATTTGAGAACTTGACATAGCCTCTGGCCAGATAGTTAACTGAGTTCTCAAATATTACTTCTCTGAGAAACCTGCATGGTCCAGGAGCTTAAGAATGGCATTGTCTTCTCGCCTTCATTCCTAGAAAATCTGTACTGGGAATCTCAGGGAATAAACTATGATGGGAGAAGTTAAACTACATGGCCTATCTTGTTTTCATTTAATTATTTTGAATAACTGAACTCTTTCTAGGACTTGGTTTTTTTCACTTAGTAGTGTCTTTGTATCTAACTGCCTTTTACTTGATCACTTTGCAATAAGGGGCTCAGATAGCCAACTCACCCCTGATTCTCCAGGCTATGTCCTTTTTCTATTTGGACTTCAGTTCTCTCTTTGAATCCTGACCGGATGTTTCTCAGTTCTCAGTTTTATTTCTTGATCCACTTGTCAGTGTTACCACTTTTCCTCCTGTTCCTCGTGGCTACCTGTCAAGCCACAGGAATTTAGGGGAAGGTGTTTGGTGACAGAGAACTCATGTGCCTTGTGGATTATAATTAATAAGAAATAAAACATTTCATAGTTTAGATAGAAACGGGTACTTTATCAAGCAGATTAAAAGTACTTGTCCTTTATTAAAACCTTGATGTGGATTAGCCTAAAGAAAAATAATCAGACCTAAATTAAGAATAAGGGGAAAATTATTGGATATTTCACTTTACACAACTTAATTTTAAGGAAAGCATGGCTATGGCTGTTTTAGTAAATGAAACTAAAGTCTCTTCTGGATCCTAGAATTCAAACTATATTTATAAATGTATAATTCAGCTACTGCTCGGTTGAAATGGGCTTTTGCGCTAGCCTGGGGAGTGTTACCACTTTTACTGTTTTCTACAGAGAAAATATTTTCCAATTTATGAACTCAATGAACTTTTAAAAGCCAGCCCATTTTTACATTGGTGTTATCTATGCAGTGGTTTCTTTACAATTGTACATAAAATGTTTTTATTATAAAATTGCGTTAATGTATAAAATATTGCTTTATGCCATAATAAAGGTATTAGTACTTTTTATGTTTTTGGTGACTTTTTTCCTAAAATTGAAAATAGCTTGAAATTTTTATTTTAAAAATAAATGGTGCGTATAAAAGTTCAAACATAGAAGAAAAAACCTAACAGTCACCTCATATCTAACATTTTTGTGAGCATTTCTTCCAGGAATTCATGTACAAAATTGGAACCATTTTCATTCAATTTTGTGAGTTGCTCTCCCTGCCTCAACATGTAATGCACACTTCAGAAAGTATAGATGTATGACATTTTGAGACTACATATTATCTCACTGTATATTTAGATGGCCATGTTGGTTATTTGTAAGTTTTCTCTATTGTACACAACCCTAAAATGAGTGCCCTCGTGTAAATCTTTGCCTACTTGTCTGATTGTCAGTTTAGGACAAATCTTCTAAAGGAATTTCGGGGTCAAAGTGAACGTTTATTAAGCTCTGGTGCAAGTTGCTTGTCGATGCGGTACCAGTTTACAGCTCCACCCTACAATGAATGAGAACCTGTTTCCCCACATCAAGGGGGCCCTGGATTTTGGCTTCCTTTTGTCAGTTTGTTAGGTACAAAATACCATTTTTATTTCAATCTCTTAATTGAGTGGGGGGTAATATTTCCTATTTATGGGCAATTAGCATTAAAAATTACCCTATATATTTGTTTTTTTTTCTACTGGTGTCTGCCTCTTGTTGATAAGTTCTTTGTTTATTAGTAGTGATTGTATGTAGCAAATACTCTTGAAAATATTTTGTCTTTTAATTGTGTGGGATGTTTTGACAAAGTTTTTATGCAATTGTAACTATCAATCTTTTATCATTTCTGGCTATATCTTATGCTTAGAAAAGTATTCCCCACCCCCAAGGTTATACTAGTAAAAGTTTCATTTTCTTCTAGAATTCTGACTTAATCTTTACACTAAATCCCAGATTAATTATAGACTGAAAAATTGATTTTTAAAAAAATATAGTTTTCTTACTGATTTCAGAGAGGAAGGGAGAGAGAGAGATATAGAAACATCAGTGGTCAGAGAGAATCATTGATTGGCTGCCTCCTGCTTGCCCCACACTCGGGATCGAGCCTGCAACCTGGGCATGTGCCCTGACCAGGAATCAAACCGTGACATGGTTCATAGGTAGATGCTCAACCACTCAGCTATGTCAGTGTGGCTCTCATTGATGTTTCTATCTCTCCCTTGCTCTCCCTCTAAAAACCAATGAAAACATATTTTCTTAAAATGTATTCAAATAGTACAGAGTTTTGTATACTCCACTCAGTTTCTACCAATGTTAATATTTTTAAGACAATATATATTTTATTGATTTTTTACAGAGAGGAAGGGAGAGGGATAGAGAGTTAGAAACATCCATGAGAGAGAAACATCGATAGCTGCCTCCTGCACACCTCCTACTGGGGATGTGCCTGCAACCAAGGTACATGCCCTTGACCAGAATTGAACCTGGGACCTTTCAGTCCACAGGCCGATGCTCTATCCACTGAGCCAAACCAGTTAGGGCCCAATGTTAATATTTTATATAACCATAGTACAATAATCAAAACCAGGATATTAAGATGAAGGGTGTCATTCTATAGGTACTGCTTTGCATTTTGCTTTTTTTCCTTCACAGAATACCCTGGAATCACTCCACATTGGTTCATAGAAACCTTATTCTGTGCATCATACTCCATTGTGTGGGTATAACATAGTTTATTCAACCTTTTTCTTATTTCTTATGTAAGCAAAATAGATTTCCTATAGTTTGCAGTTACAGACAATGCTGCAGTAAGGAATCTTGTGTGTCTGTTTCATAATGTTGGAGGTATATTTTCAGGGTAGATTCCTAGAAGTGGGATGGCTTGGTTAAAAGGTAAGTGAATATGTAGTATTTTTATTTATTGACAAATTCCCCTATAGAGAGGTACTTTTTTCCTTGCAATTTAGTTTTTGAAGAAGCCAAGTCATTTGTTTTTCATTGTTACTGTTAATTATTTATAAATTTGTAGGTTTTTTAAATTTAAATTATTGTTGAAAGAAGTATTATGTGTCTCCTTTCTCCCCCATTGACCTCTCCCGGCTGCTCCACCCTTCTGTCTGTGTCCATTGGTTATGCTTATATGCATGCATACAAGTCCTTTGTTTGATCACTAAATTTGTAGGTTTTAACATGTGATATACTTTAACCTATTGCAGTTATTTCATCCTCCAATTGTCCATCTCCTCTTTGAACAGCAAGCGCCTACTCCCCCTCTCCCCAAGATAGTGATTTATTTTCATAGTTTTTGTTTATTCAAGACCCTAGATCCGCTGAAGCAGTCCCTCCAGGAATTGCCCCTCCAGAGGCCGTGACAATAGGTCTTCTGTGGAGGGAAATGCTGGGAGAGCGGTCAGCTTTAGTAAAGGCAGCTCAGAGAAAGCGGGAGTTGAGGGGCCGGCTGCCAAGATTTTAATAAATTGCTTCAGATATTCTCTCTGTGGACAAGGACCTCTTTTATTGCAAAAATGAATTTTAATGTTTATCTTGAGTTTGATTTAAACATTGCTTTTATTTTTTATTTTTTTAAATATATTTTATTGAGTTTTTTTTTTTTACAGAGAGGAAGGGAGAGAGATAGAGTTAGAAACATCGATGAGAGAGAAACATCGATCAGCTGCCTCCTGCACATCTCCCACTGGGGATGTGCCCGCAACCCAGGCACATGCCCTTGACCGGAATCGAACCTGGGACCTTTCAGTCCGCAGGCCGACGCTCTATCCACTGAGCCAAACCGGTTTCGGCTAAACATTGCTTTTTATTTTTATTTTTATTTTTTGTGTTTTTTTTTTAATATTGATTTTTTTTTTACAGAGAGGAAGGGAGAGAGTTAGAGAGTTAGAAACATCGATGAGAGAGAAACATCGATCAGCTGCCTCCTGCACATCTCCTACTGGGGATATGCCCGCAACCCAGGTACATGCCCTTGACCGGAATCGAACCTGGGACCTTTCAGTCTGCAGGCCGACGCTCTATCCACTGAGCCAAGCCGGTTTCGGCTAAACATTGCTTTTTATATGATGCCGACACCAGCTGTGCAGAAAGGGCTCTGGAGAGATGTTTTATGAACATAGCAACACACACCTGCAGCTCTTCTGTTCCCTGGGCTCCAGGGCAGCCAATTTGCTTCATCAAATACGTTCTTCAGGCCTTTCTGGCTGAGTGCAGAATGCTCCACATATTTGACGGCCTTCAGGTCACGGGCCAGCTTTTCAGCAGTCTGGAATGATAGGCTTTTGTTTGTTCTTGGCAACTTTCTCAATAGTAGAGGGGTCATCTCAGATCAATTTGGGTCCCAACAAGCAAGGAAGGAGTCTATGGACAGTGAGTTATTTCAGGCACCCTAATGAGGATGGAGAGACCACTGAAAAACAGACTAGAAATACATCTGCTTGTGGATAACTCAGCAGTCAAAATCTTGTCATATTCTCTTGCCCTGCTGTATCAAAAAGTCTAAGAGTATATGGCTCTCCACCAATCACAATTGTGACTACATAGTTGTCAAAAACAGTTGGTACATAGTCAGATGGAAATTTGCTTATTGTGTTAGGAGACATGTTTTACCAATGGCACCATCGCCAACAATAATGCACTTAATTGTCTGCATTGCTGAAACAGTTTTCTACCCAATTTAAGTATTTCAAGTCTGACGATGACCTCAGCTTCTCCGCCAGGGTGTTGGCAGCACTGCCCAAGAACCTCTTTTTAAGTTGGCACCATTTCAATTCTTTTGAACTGACCCTTCTAGTCTTGATGGTTTCTTTGATTTCTGGTGTGACAAGATAGCCAGACTCATCCTGTCCCAGAACCAGAATTAGCATTTTTTTTTTGAAGGAACCGGGCTTCCTTATAATTTAGGTAATGCTGTTTAGGGCTTACCGTCTGGGAAATAAGACTTACGTCTTATATTCTTATTTTTATTTCACTAAAATGGTTAAGTTTATGCTAGATATTTGTTGATGTTACTATTATGAAAGTGGTCTTTTTCTCCATTGCATCTTTCCTCCAATGAAAGGTTGTTGATTTTTATACCTTTATGTGTGACCCGCCTGTTTACTAAACTTTTTTTTACTTTTTCTGTTTAGTTGTTTTACTTTGCTTTTTCAGGAAGACAATCAATCATATCATCTGTAAAAAATGATTTTTCCATCTTCCCAATCATTATACTTATTTGTTCAAAAGAATGTCCAATTGCATTTTCCGGCACTTTCAGATCAATATTATATACTACAGATGATGATTACCCTGCTCTTAATGAGTTTTCCATTAAGTTGGCTCCCCGGTGTAAAGACAAATTAGTGCTCTTCTTAGTATCTTATTTTTACTGGAGTGAACATAAATGATAGACATTAGCTGTGCTCTGGCCAAACAAGTTAACTCCCTTTCATCACAACATGCCTTATACTTTCCCCTCTCTTCTAATTACCATCCACGAGCTTGATCTCGGGTCACTGCATTGCTCTGTATACCACTCACTGGACAAATTCCACAGGGACTGCTTTATGACATCTCACAGGGAACATCCCATGACCTTCAATACTCAAAATACTGGTGTAAAAAGAAGGCCAGGAGAGGAAATATTGTCAGCTAGAACTCTTCCATCTCAAGTTTCCTAGTCTGATGTCTTTATTAGGTGTGTGTCTGTGTAAGGATTTTTCAGAAATCTCTATTTTAGTTTTCACCTGGCTGTTCTACCAGCTAGATCTTTAGAGGTCAGCACCATGTGTCATGGTGGTTTATGTATTGAGCTCCTACTAGGAGACAGTATAGGATAATAATTAAAAGTGCTCTCCCCCTTCCCCTCAGTCCGCCCTGAATTTGGCTAGTTTAGGAAGGTGTGTAGTGGAAAAAGTGTCTGAGGTGCCTTGCCACAGCTCTGGGATTTAACTCGTGTTACTTTGGGAAGTTGTGCACATCCCTACAACCTGCATTTCAGGGTTGAAGTGCTTTTTACGTTCATAGCTTTCATTCAGGCTATACAGTA